GCAGCCCCGGGAGTCCCGGGAGCCCCCGCGAGCCCCGCGGAGGAGGGAAGGCGGAAAGGGAGGCGGCGGCCCCGCCCGGCCCGTGGGCAGCTCCCGGTCCTCTGTGCGCAGGAGAAGCGGCGGCTGCAGGAGGCGATCCGCGCGGCGCGCCGGGAGCTGGAGGAGGAGAAACTCCGCGTGGAGCGGCTCAAGGTTGGGGGCGGGCAGGGGCGCCTCCGCAGCCTGGGCAATGAAGTGGGGTTGTCTGTGAGAGTCGGTTTGGGGGGAATCATAGGAGCCAGTGTCCAACTTGGGGGAGCAATTGGGGGCATGGGTTCCAGCTTGGGGGGCATTTTTCCTCTGCTTGGGAGAGTGGGGGGAGGTAGTGGTGGTGATGGGGACATTTGTACCACCTTTGGGGGAAGAGTATGGGGACAGTGAAGGTGTTTGTCCAGCTTCGGGGTAGGGAGGGGCCAAAAGAGACGTTGCTTTCACCTCTGCCGGCGCCTGTCCCATTCTGGAAGATGATGGGTGTTTTGTTCTAGGCTGGAAGAGCTATGGGCTGGTAATGGGGTGTCTGTCCCACCCGGCAATGTTGGGGTGCACTGTGAGGCCATGTATCATATCCCACCCTGAAGGAGAAATGTCTGTCCCATTCGGGTGGTTTTGGACAATAAGAAATCTTCCCAGCCTAGGAGATTAGGAGGGGACCCTACATCGGGGGGAGGCGGGGGGGAGTCAGTGTGCACAGCCCGAGCTGCCTTCCCATGCCCAGAGGAAGTCTCTCCGGGAGCGTTGGCTAATGGACGGGTCGGCTGAGGGGACGGAGCGGCAGGAGGAGTCTGCTTCGAAAGACCCCCAGTCACCTGAGGGCCAGGCTCAGGCCCGAATCCAGAACTTGGAAGACAGCTTGTTCACGTGAGTCGGGCCCCTGCCAGCCTGGCTAGGCCAGGTCCCCAGGTCCACTCCAGGGAATTGGCAAATTGGGGATTGGTGGTGGCGGGGAACCATTGAGCCTGGGGGCCTGGCTCCCAGCAGCCTCCTCTCTTCCTCAGACTCCAATCCCAGCTGCAGCTGTTGCAAGGTGCATCCACAGGTGCCCAGCACAAGTCCTCAGGCAGGCCCACCTGGCGCAGACAGGTGAGGGGCCAGGGGAGCAAACTGGGCCGGGGCGGGGGGGGGGGGGGGGGAGGCGGCCAGCAGGGACAGAAGCAGGATTTCTCCAAGTGCAGTTTAACCAGTGAGTCCTCTGCTATTTCTTGTCTTTGTGGTCTTGGACAAGTCGCTTGCCTTGCTCCAGCCTGTTTCCCTAGGTCTAAAATGAGAATAGCAACAGCACACAGCTGGATGAGATGAGGGGGCGGGTCAACAAGATCATAGCTTCGCACCAGGCACGGGCATGAGGAAAAGTCTTCCTATATGATTGCTAATATGGCCAGAATGAGGAATACAGTGGGAAAATGGGGGGGGGGGGCTCATGGAATTTGGCCTCAGAGTGAGGAATGGGTCACCATGAGATGCTCTTGTGATCTGGGGCATCCACATGGGCTTTTGTTTTAGTAGCACTTTTATTAAGATATATTCTGCATGCTATGCAACACACAGGCTTTCGACAACTTCACATTAAAATCTGGCTCTCTGGGTTGTCCCTGAAGTCCAAAGATCTGGCAACATTTGTGCCTGGCCACAGTGAGGTGCAGCTTTTCCACAGTCGCCCGCTCTCCCTAATGTCTGACCTTAGCTCCTAGGTGCCCATTTCAGGGCACAGAGGGAGAAGGAGCCCTGTTCACGGATGTGGGAAGCACTTGTTGGGTTTTTAGCATAGGCCAGGAGTTCTTGCCAGAGAGGTGCAAGTTAGGATTCCTGGCCCACGGGAGCTGAGGAGGAGCACAGAGGAATCACCTGAGTGAAGCTGGGGGTTCAGGGAAGGCTTCTTGGAGGCAGTGCCATCTATATTGAATCTGAGTGGGAGCCAGGCAGGAGTGGAAAGGGAATTTCAGGCAGAGGAAGCAGCCCATGTAAAGGCCTGGAGGCTGGAAAGAGGATAAGATCAGAGAACTGTGAGGAGGAGCTCCCTGGAGCTTGGCCATCCTTCCACTCCCCTCCCTGAGCCCATTTTCATACTCTCACACTGCCTGCCCCCCGCCCCGCACTCCAGCTATGCGGACCCTCTTTTCTAGTTCTTGAACTTGTGTAGCTCATTGCAGCCCCAGGGCTTTTGCACTTGCTTTCCCCTTGGCCTGGAATGCCCTTACCTACCTCTTGACTCAAGGCTGGCTCTTCCTACCCTTCGGGTCTCTCTCTGTTCAGTGTCACTTCCTCCAGAGCCCCTCCTCCTGCTTTTTTATTTTTTCTGCCATAGTCTTGCTCACTCCCTGGCATTACCTGTTTATTTGTGTTTATGTTTATACCTCACCCCCCCGGAATGTAAGTCCCCATAGCAAAAGGCTTAAGTAAGTGTCCCTTCCTTGTCCCACAGCAACCTCAGTAGCTGACAGAGTAGGTCCCTAATACAGAGCTATGGCTCATGGACACAGTATTGATTAAGGACCTACTGTGTGTGAGGCACTAGAGCAGGGGGTGATAAGACAGGTGAGGAAGGCTGAGGGTTTGGTCCTGAGCGAGATGGGCTGGGGGGGACCCGCATGCAGGGAGGCTGGAGGTGGAGACACCGGCTGGCCTGACCTTGTCTCTGCCATCCCTGCAGGGTCACCGACCTCTCTCCCAGCCTACCGTGGAGGCAGGTCCCACAGGTGGGTGTTTGTGCTCAGGCCTGGGGGTCCCAAGAAGAGGGGCCTGAATCTGGGGGGCCAGAATCTCACTCTGTCACCCCCTGTCTCCTCTCACTCCCCAAGACCACGCTGATCTGAACAAGAGAGCCTCCCTACCAGCTGGACCAGTGGACACGTCCCCAGAGTCCCCCTCTGAGCCCAGAGATGAGGCTGTCAGGGCTCCACCAGCCCTGAGGTTGTTCCCTGGGGCAGCAGGGGCCTCCTCAGAAGCCAATGGCCCCTGCCCTGGACCCAGCCCCCTTCCAGAGCAGCAGCCCTGTCAGGGGCAGGCAGCATCCAAGGGGGGCGTGGATGAGGCCAAAGGGGGTGTGGTGAAGGTGGTATGGGAGGGGCTGAGGGCCACAGAGGACTGTGCCATGGGGGCCACGGGCCCAGAGCTGGAGGCTAAGGTAGAGGAGATGGTGTTGGAGGCAGTTGGGGACAGGCAGGAAGCCAGCTGCCCAGAGCTCCCCTCCTGGGTGACAGAGGACAGGGGCATCGTGGAGGTGGTCTGGGAGGGGGTGGGAGGACCGGACAGCAGCGACTCAGAGGCCACAGGGGAGGCGGGCAGGGGCCAGAAGGCTGCGCAGACCGGCTCATCGAGGCTTCAGGTGAGACTGGAGGGAGCAGCTCCTGGAGAAGGTGGCGTTCCCAGGGGCAGCCCTGATGCTGATGGGCCAGGGGGCTCTGGAGGAGAGGAGGGGTCTTTCATTTGGGTGGAGAGGGTGACCCTCAGCGAGGAGTGGGAGGAGCTGGTGGTGGAGGGATTGGAAGGGCCAAGGGTGTGGGGAAAGGGGGGAGGACCTGAGAGTCCACTGGGGGCAGAGAGGGGGGCAGGGGAGGAAGCCTGGGAGGCAGGGAGAAGCCAAGCAGAGGAACCAGTGGGCGGAGGAAAGGGGAGTGAGGAAAAGGCAGGGACAGCGCAGGAAGGAGCAGACATGTCTCTGATGGCGGAGAGGGAAGGAAGCAAGCCAGAGCAGAAAGGAGGTGAGGAAGAGCTAGAGGCAGAGAAGGAAGATGAGGAACCATTGGGAGTAGAGCAGAAAGGAGATGAAGAAAAGCTAGAGGCAACTGAAGAACCATTAGTGATGGAAAGAAAGGAAGGCAAGGAATCACCAAAGGTAGAGAGAACGGGAGGTGAGGCGCCACTGGAGGCCGAGGAAGGAGGTGAGGCGCCATTGGAGGCTGAGAAAGGAGGAGGTGAGGCACCACTGGGGGCTGAGAAAGGAGGAGGAGAGGAGTCACTGAAGGCAGAGAAGGGAGGAATTGAGGCACCAGTGAAGGCAGAGAAAAGAGGAGGTGAAGAGCCATTGGAGGCCAAGAAAAGAGGAGGTGAGGAGTCACTGAAGGCAGAGAGAACAGGAGGTGAGGAGCCATTGGAGGCCGAGAAAGGAGGAGGTGAGGAACCACTGGAGGCAGAGAAGACCGAAGCAGTCGAGGAAGATCTGAGTCCAGAAGAGCAGAGAGAGTCCGGGGGAGGACAGGAATGTCAGGCAGAGGAGGTGAGTGAGGCAGGGGCTCCCTTGGGGGCCAAGGAAGAGTCAAGGCCAGAAGAAGAACCCCAGCCCCAGGAGAAGCAGGAAGGCTCCCTGGAGGAGAGATCTGTAAGACCCCAAAGCCCTGCTCAGGGCCAGGGCCCCTTGGGGGACGCCACCCCCCTCCTGGCGGAGACCCCCACCCCACAGCAGCCTGCCGAGTGCCAGCCACTTCTTCGGGCGCAAGGGCCCAGGGCCCACCCCAGCGCCCGGCCCGTGCCCACCTATGCCCCTGCCCGGCAGCCCGAGCCATCTGCCCCTGCTGAGGGTGAAGAGGCAAGTGGCCCGAAGCAGAAGACGTGCCAGTGCTGTGCGGTCATGTGAGCCCACGCCCTCCGCCCCGCCCCAGCGCCTCTCACAGCTACCTCGGCCTCTCGGCGTCCAGCGGCGGCTCCCAGGCACCCGGGCGGCGGGGGGGGGCCCCCCCGGGAGCCAGCTGGCCCGCACGTCACCTCCTCCCGGGCTTCCGGGCGCTTCCCACTGCCTGTGACCGTGGTCCCCGTCTACGACAAAGCCTTTATACTTGAAAATAAAACGTTCAGGCATTCGGACAGTTCGAGTGTGTGTTGCTGGCACGGGACCGGCTCAGCACCTGCCGGTGGGAAAGCAAAGGGCTTCCCTCCTGCTGCTGGCGGAGATGGAGTGGGTGTGGGTACAGACGCGGCTGCTGGACAAGGTGCCCCAGCTACAGGAGCTATACGAGTGTGAAAGTGCGTTTCTCTGGGTGGCTCAGAGTCCCGCAGTCCCTCGGGGACTGAGCTTCCTCTCCCCTTCTTGCTCCACTGGCCCCTCCGGGCACACTGGTGCTCCAGCCCGTGGGCGAGGGGAGAGAGTGCGGAGGAGCCCTGACCCCGTCCGGGCCTCGTCGGGGCCTCAGCCCGCGGCACTCCTGCCCGCAGTCTGCAGTCTGCCGGCAGCGGGAACCCCGGGCTGCACCCGGCTGCCGGGCGGAGGGCAGCGGGGCGCCCAGCTATGGTTAGCAGCAGGACAGATCGGAGGAGGGAGCTGCCGCTCACATTCATACATGGTCCTTTGCTCCCTCCTCCATCCGTATATTCCCAGGAGGGCCAGGTCCTCCTTTGTAGCGGGTCCTTCAACCTCTTCTTCCTGGCTGGGTGTCCTCAGGCAAGGGACTCAGCCTCTCTGAGCCTCAGTGTCTTCATCTGTCAAATGGGCACCCCTCCCCTGGCCTGGGCTGGGTTCAGGCCAGAACTTGGGACCTGGGGGAGGGCCCAGAAGGCCCAGCTCCTCGGGGGTGGGCAGGAAGTGTTTCTCATAGCCAGAGTCCAGCTGGGGGGGGGCCCGGGGGGGCTCCGGAACCGGTAGTGGCTCCATCTCCTCCACTTTCAGGATGGGGAAGTCCCCGGGGGGCTGAGCCTGCGGCACCTCCTGGGAAGAGAAGAGACGGGGATTCTGCCCCCACCCATTCTCCCCGACCTGCCGCCACCCACTCCCCGCTGTCCCCGCATTTGCCAACTTCCCAGAGGGCCCAGACAAGCCAGCCTTTTTGCTCACCTCCATGTGGGGCCGGCCACAACTGCTGTTGGCCGGATCTGGAACCTTCTCCCAGACCCAGCGGGGCAGTACCTTGTGCCGAAGATGGAGGCACCTGGCCAGCAGGTAAGAGGGCAGAGAACCTAGGTGACCTGACACCCAGGCCCAGAGTGCAGAGCCCAGGAACGTCACGGAGCCCTGAGGCATCCCCTCACTTCTTGCCGCCCCCCCGCCCCACAAAGCTGAGCTAGTGTCCAGCTGCCCTCCCGACCCGGGGAAGAGACCCGCATGTCCGACAGCCTCACCTTCCAGAGGTGGCCAGGCTCACACCACAGCCCGTCAGGAGCAAGCCCCACAGCAGAAAGACACCCGGCAGAACTTTCCACTTCAGGGTGTTATCTGAGGCCAAGGGGCAGAAGAACATTTGGATACCAGGGATGGGCGAGGGATCAGGAAAGGATCATGCGTGGGGCAGGGCTTGGGTGGAGGCAGGTAAAGGGGGGATGCTTATGAGTGGGTAGGGGCTAAGTGCGGGGAGATCTTGGGGTGCGAGTGGGGCTTGTGAATAAAACAGTCATCAGGGATAGGTTAAGGTCAGGGAGGGGTGAAAGGGTCAGAGACACACACTGCCTGATAATCCAGAGTATTTAGAAGGATCGGAATGCCCCTGAGGCGTCATCAGTAACCACCCCCAAGTCAAAAGGTTGCTCATTCACTGAAACCCCTATCTCCTTGAAATTGAGCAGGTCCCCTCCTATGGCAGTCCCACCCCAACCCCCCCTACCTGGTAGGTGAAGCCAGAGGCTGGGACCAGCTGGCCCCTGTCCTGCGATGGTGGATGCGGTCACCCACAGCTCACAAGGACCCCAGGGAAGGTCGGGCAGGGTGATGTTCTGGGTGCTGCCACTCACTGAAGGACACACCAAGAGGTTGGGGAGGCAGTCAAGTCCTACCTCAGGGCCTTTGCACGTGTTTCCTCTCTGTCTGCAACACTCTCCCCAGATATCCACATGACTCCCGCCTTCAGGTCTTTGCTCAAATTTCACCCCCTCAGTGAGGCCTTCCCTGACCATTAGAAAGTTAGCTCCACAAGGGCCATATTCCCAGCACCTGGATCAGTGGCTGGCACACAGAAAGCACTCAAAAAGGATATTTATTCAAGTAAATAAAAGAAAGAATGAGCATCGTATCCCCCATCTGCACACTTATCCAGTGAATGGAGATTCTCCCTAGACGGGAAAGACGTGCACCTCCCAGAACTATATTTGTTTACTTGTTTTTACTAAACTGCTCTTTTTTGCTTTTCTTTTTTTTAAAGATTTTATTTATTTATTTGACAGAGAAAGACACAGCGAGAGCAGGAACACAAGCAGGGGGAGTGGGAGAGGGAAAAGCTGGCCTCCCGCTGAGCAGGGAGCCCGACAAGGGACTTGATCCCAGGACCCCGGGATCATGACCTGGGCCGAAGGCAGACGCTTAATGAATGAGCCACCCAGGTGCCCCTCTTTTTTGCTTTTAAGCCAAAAGGGGAAGTAGCTTTTTGGTTTGTTGTAGGATGATGGGAGACATGAACACTGATCGAGCTCTATTGCCATAGAAAGACATCCAAGCTAAATCAGCAGGTGAAAAAAAGAAAGTTGCAAAACATCACAGTCGTAAGAGATTGAGAGGCCAAACTATAGTCTATAACATGGTCCTCTTTTTAAAATAATAATAATCCAGGGGCACCTGGGTGGCTGAGTTGGTTAAGCATCCAACTTTTGGTTTTGGCTCAGGTCATGATCTCAGGGTGGTGAGATTGAGCCCTGCATCAGTCTCTGCACTGGGCGTGGAACCTGCTTAAGATTCTCTCTCCCTCTCCCTCTGCCCCTCCCCCTCCTCTCTTCCTTTCTAAAATAATAATAATAATAAATGTATATATATTTAATAATATAGATATGTATAAACATTTTAATGTAAAAAAAATAAAAATGGGGCACCTGGGTGGCTCAGTTAAGGTTAAGCATCAGACTTTGGCTCAGGTCATGATCTCAGGGTCCTGGGATCGAGGCCCAAAGCAGCCTCTGTAATCAGAGGGGAGTCTGCTTCTCTCCCTCTGCCCCTCCCCCCATTCATGCACATGCTCTCTCTCTCTCTCAAATAAATAAAATCTTTTAAAAAATAAAAATAAAGCCATAAAAATTTTAATCTGATGATTGATATATACTTTTGTAACATGGAATCATGGCAAAGTAATTATGTTAAAAAATAGGCTTTATCAGTTAGAGACAAATGCTGAAGCACTGATGTAGTTAGGGGTAAAATGACACAAAAGACTCTAGAAAAAGGGCGCATGGGTGGCTCAGTCGTTAAGCGTCTGCCTTTGGCTCAGGTCATGATCCCAGGGTCCTGGGATCGAGTCCCGCATCGGGCTCCCTGCTCCGCGGGAAGCCTGCTTCTCCCTCTCCCACTCCCCCTGCTTGTGTTCCTGCTCTCTCTGTCTCTGTCAAATAAATAAATAGATAAATCTTTAAAAAAAAAAAAAAAGACTTTAGAAAAAAAGTGCAGGGGATAAAATGAAAGCAGATTGGCAGAAAGTAGGTAACTGTTGACACCTGGTGGGCACACCAGGGTTTGTTATACTAGTCTCCCTACTTTTGTATGTGCTTGAATTTTCTATAATACAAAGTTAAAAATCTTCAAAGAACACAACTCCTATCTCTGTGTTAATAGATGCATGGAAAAGTCTGGAAGCTGCATTACCAGTGTCAGCAAAATTATGAGAATGCGCATATTCTTAAAAAAAAAAAGATTTATTTATTTATTTGAGAGACAGAGAGCAGCGGGGGAGGGAGGGAGAATCCCAAGCAGGCTCCCTGCCAAGGGTGGAGCCCGACACGGGGCTCGATCCCATGACCCTGATATCATGATCTGAGCCAAAATCAAGAGTTGGACGCCCAACCGACTGAGCCACCCAGGTGCCCTGAGAATGCTGATGTTCTTGATGACATACTCCTTTAATGTGTCAGCTATGGTAATAAGCACAGATAACTTTTGTAATTAGGAAAAAAAGGGTAATAAAGGTATTTTTAAGGAATTTGTGTTGGGACGCCTGGGTGGCTCAGTCGGTTAAGCGTCTTCCTTCAGCTCAGGTGATGATCCCGGGGTTCTGGGATCGAGTGCCAAATCGGGCTCCCTGCTCGGCGGGGAGTCTGCTTCTCCCTCTGCCTGCCACTCCCCCTGCTTGTGTTCCCTCTCTCACTCCCTCTCTCACAAATAAATAAATAAATAAATAATCTTTAAAAATTTAAAAAAAATAAAAAGGAATCTGTCTTCTGAGTAAAAATGTAGCCTATACCCAAAGGTAGGAAAAAGAAATAAAAATCGTACATAATGCTGTTGACATTGTGGGCAATCTCTTTTCATATTTGTGCCTCTGCTTTGCTCAGTGCCAGGTTTATTTTACACAAATGGAACCACCTTGTGGAGTTTTGTCAGCTTTTTATCCTTTTCACTTAATAAACATGACAGGCATCTTTCAATGTCAATAAATATAGATCAGAGTCTTCGTTTTTAATGGTCAAACGACAGTCCATTATATTGATAGCCACGAGGGTTATTGTCCACTAGGGAACAGATGCCATCAAAGATTTTCCCAGGGCCTGAGAGGGAGGCAAAGGGCCCATCTGGGGACAAGGGTGGGGTAGACTGATGGGTGGGTCTTGTGGGGGCAGGAGGCGGTGAAGCTCACCATTCATGCAGACAGAAGGCCTGGTCCCGCTCTGTACACACACGGTGTAGTGGGTGAGATGGCCCCGGAGTTGGTGCCTCGGGACCTCTCCCCACGCTATGGCGGGGGTCCCTGGGGGGGCATCCTGGAGTCGCCAAAGCACTGGCCCAGCTAGGGGTACTGGGGAGAAAGCCAATGGGTCAAGGCCAGCCAGGGTTCCAGGGGGATCCCCCATTCTCCAGCTCCACCACTTACCCAGTTCCTCTCTGAACCTCCAGACTGGGGGGGCAGGGGCCAAGCCCCAAGGAGAGACTGCTG